TTCCCCTCCACCTTCTGATCCCCATACGCATGTTCATGGAGTTGTCATTCAATGTTGTGAGGGGAATGTGGACTCCAGCCTCACCATATCCATCCACTGAGCAATGGCTCAGTGGTTTTTTGCCAGCCAAAAATATTTCTAATGGAAACCCCTCCGTTCTCTCACACTAGCAGAAATGTCCCCTTTATATCACAAGCTTTGATTATGGCAGTGTAATCAATGTCTCCGGAAGTGTGCAGCTGAATGAGCTTGTACTGAGTTAGAATATTGATATACCCTTCTACAAGACAAAGGAAAAAGCCATTTCTTGAGATAAATATATATGAAATTAGAAAAACATTAAATGTGTTTCTGTTGCCAACAAAGAGAAAAGCAGGTTTATTCTAACTGCAAGAATGTTTCATTCTAAATCCAAGTTGGTGGCATTTTTCAGGGGGATTCTCTGTTCAGGCTTCTCATCACCAGCATGCAGTGTTGCATATTATATTCCAGTGGCCTTTCTTTTCTTTTTTCATTCTCTTCAGACCAATTTAAAAGAAAGATGGATTAGTGTTTCATATATTCAAATTGAAATAAACTTGTAGCAAGCAGGCTGGAATAGCTGCAGCTATGTTACTTGTTCTGTTCTGTCGCATCATGCAATATTTAAAGCCTATAATTAAGTTTTTACTTGAACTGTTGGGAGGCAAATACTGCCCCCAAGGGTGTAAAGGTTCCTGTCTGGAAAGGCTTCACCACAAACTGGCATATTTTGCAAACCAAAGGGTAGCAAAAAGAAGCTTCAAACTCTGTGAAGCCAAATAAAAGAGGAAGACAGTAGTTCGTTGAATAAAATGTGTTACCACTGTTAATCACATGCTATAACAGTGGCATTATGACTAGAGTTCTACAATAAACATAATGCTTACGTGATGTGGTAGTAATGGGATTAGTATTAATTCAATTTTTACCAAAGTTCTTGAATACCTCCCAAATTCAAATAATGTAGAATTTCAGTTACTGAGTGTTTCCTAGTGAGGACATACAAAAGACTGCAATCAGATACAAGTTTTTTATTTCTCCTCTAAGAAAGGCACAGTAGGTTACCTTCCTGTCACTCATGAGGATTATGTTTTTAAAGGTCTGTATGAGAAAATACATGCGCTTGTTAATGAGTTATGTTCTCTTATATCATGCGGTGTTTTGAAAATGTACTTTTATAACCATATATAACGATGAAGCTTTCTGAAAGAAAGTATTTGAATTTCTTTTGTTTCTCTTAACAGCATTTATTCTGAGCAGCTTTGGTTTGTCCTTTAGAAAGCTGACTTGTGTTATTCAGGGATGCATTCTATTCCACCGGGTAGGTTCTGTGGGAAGACCAGCGTTACCTCTTTGGTGAGATCGTGTACGGTGTCCACATCACCGATGCCTTGGACTGCAGGCTCTGCTGTATGTGTCTGCAAGAATTCATCAGCCCACCTGCGGCAAGAACTTTCATATGCCTAAAGCTCTTGAACATGTATATAGTATGTTCAAACTAAGAGAAATCATCTTTCAGAACTGGAGCCTTGTGGAGAAGACCACAAGCTTTCTCGTCTATGCGGCCCCACCTGTAGCAAGGTCTTGTCTGGCTGTGGGGGAATAAATTCTCCAACTCGTAATGAGTACAATGATTCATCATGAGCAGATTTTGTCTGCAAGGGTTTGTGACTTGGCATATTCCTTGTCTAAATACTTTCACAAGCACCCTTACTTGGCAACTTGAATTCAGTGTTTTGTAACACTGCTTGTATAGCCAGCTTAATGACGTTAGGGGATAGTATATTTAGGTTTCCATTTTCCTAATAAAACTATTCTCTTTTAAGGTGCTGCCGTTTAGAAAGGTCTGGGTAGGCATAGGAAAGTATCTTTTATGAAACTGCACTTCAACCAACGTAAATGATAGACTCACCAGTTACAGCAGTCCGGAATGGCACTGTCCTCAAAACTTACATTTACCATTTGTATGTTTTCTTCTCCGGAAAAATAATAGAATGGAATGTTATACATTTCCTTGCATTTTCTTGTTTCCAAAATAGGGAAAACAGTTTGTAAGACTGCTTCTCAGTTCCACCACCCTCTCACACATCTGTTTCTGTAGCTCTGTCAGATTATCACAAGCTGATATATACTGAATTATTCAAATTTCACTACTGAGTTTTGGTCCTGGACAGCAGTGTCTGTGGAGCATCCATGAGTCCAAGGTGCAAGATAGATTGCCAAAGTTGCTTCTAATCAGAAACAAATGTTAGAATTTTTGAGGATACAAAAAGCAAATGTTGCTTTAACTTTAGGCATGGAAACTACTTTAATCTATTTTCATATACATACATTTATATAAAGTGTGTATGTATATATAGGTGTGTGTGTATATAAAGATAAGTAAAAAAAAAAAAACCAACTGGCTGCTTCTCCTAAGCTGCTGAACTAGTCACTTTACAGAACTGATTGTACACAATTTGCTAAAAACAGCCGAGAGATTTTTCAAGTGCCCTTTCCAGACTTGTTATTTTTCATTGTCCAAAGGCAAAAAGCTTATTTGGGAGAAAAAAAAAAATAAAATTAGCACGTTATGTGTGAGCAGGCCATTTGCAGAGCCTGGCTAACTTGGGGAAGGTGCACTGGTAATGGCACCTTGGCAATGCTGCTGAAGCCTGCCTTTCGGTCGTGAGCGAGTTGAGCTTGCTGGTGTCTCCTCGGTCTCTAACGAGTGGGTTTTCTATGTCAGAGCCACACTCAGATGAAGGCAGTTGGAAGTAACTGCTCAGAAGAAGATGCCCAAGAGTAAGTTGCCATGGAGATGGAAAGGCTAAACACCACTGTACTCCTGACCTCAGCGGAGGCTGATTTCTCCAAATGACAGCTGAGGTCACGGGGGCATGGTGGGAAGCTCATCCTGCCAGCTCCGGCTCTGCCTCTAGCCTATGGATAAGTAAAGAATTACTGTTTCCAGTTTAGGCAGTCCATTAACCTTCGCAAGCCTGAACTTTCATTCAAATAATTGTAAAATAAGTATAGGTGGTGAAACCTGAGGAGAATCACTGCTATTTGTATGGCCTTTGGAAAGTTTAGGGACCCAACCCCCAGCGTGGATCTGCTGGTATTTAAAATGGTGAGATATCTTTCCAAGCTTTTTGCCATGATTAGAAAATGTTAAAGCCCCGAATTACCAGAAAAAACAGAAAATCATTTACTGACCTGCAGCCAAATGAATGCAAACAGGATGGCAATGCCTTTCATCAGGGCTGGTGCTTTGTGTTCACTGGGGAGATTACCTTCTCTTTTACCTCTTCCCATTGCTGATGAGTTCTTTTAGCTATAAATTCATTCCATGAGCTGTGTTAGAATAATCCACTATATGTCAGCTTTTCTATACCTCATCTGGGATCTGTCTGTCGTAAGCACAGAACGGCAGTGAGTTCCTGCTATGAACCCCCGTAACCCACAGCCTCCCTCTGCATACGTGACTCCCAGGAATACAGTAAAACCCTTTTTAAGTGCCAGCAGAGAGACTGGTAAATACAGATTGTCTGACAGAATTGATCTTCCACTCGAAGTGAATAACAGGGCTTTTTTCAAAACCTCGGCACTGCTTCAAAGTGGCGTCTTAAGACATAGCTTATTGTGGGTGAGGTTAGTGGTGCAGGTTCAGGCGCAGGTAAATGGCTAGTTGCAGAACCAAAATGACTTCAGAAATAAGTGCTTACTGGTGTTATTGTGAGCAGCAGCTTGTTGTCGACTGTTCTAAATGCCAAAAGCCGTTAAATTTTACTGTGATTTTGTGGAGTGGACCCTGCATTAGGAAGAAATAGCTCCTGTGAAAAGTACCACTTAGAGCTAGAAATATTTTTCAGCAAAAACAACTTGCAAGTCTGGTTTAAATCACAGACAGCTCTATGACAATAAGTTCAGAGAAACTCTTTGAATCCAGTGAGGTCCTTGCAGCACAGGAGCTGGGGGACCCTGGAAAATAAATGTGATTGTTACAGCTTTTATTCTGTCCTGTCATCAGTAGGAGGGCAGCCCACCAAAGCCCTCCATCTATCTACTTAATTCTTGACTTGCTCCCAAGTCCTGAGTCTTATCTTTAATATCCTGATGGGGTAGGGCCTGCCTGTTCTATAGAACGGTGCAGTTAACAGTATGTGGTTCAATATTGAGCTGATTGAGACCTTAATTTTTTCTGCTGTGAAAATTATTGCCACTGTCTATCTCACTGAGGCCAAAGCAGCAGTACAAAACCCCGTGCAAGACTCCTACATTTGGAGAGATGGAACGGAGTAGCATGTTTTTCCTTTCTGTTCCAGCTCCTGGGTGTTAACAGCCAGGCAGAAGAAAATGGAAGGGACATCAACATGTGAAGAAATGTCCTAACTGACAACCATTTCTGTGGAAAGTGGATTGGGATCACTGTTTCTGACAAGCTACGAATTGCAACGTATGTTGTCCCATTTATGCACTACACTTACTTGTCTCATTGACCTGTCACTCCCTGTAACCTCTTTAAGGTTATTGTGAGCACAGTGTGTTTGTGCAAAGCCCCAAATTAACAATACACCAAGCAGAATTAATGTGGCGGCTCATGTATTATTGGGTTGGGGCTTCAGGTGAGTTGAGGGTCCAGTCCTGCCTCTCCCACAGGTGTCCTGCTCCTGTGTGACACTATCAGTGTGTCTCAGACTCTCATCTGCAAAATGGCATAACGATCCTTGCTCGTCTACTGAGGGGTTGCAGAAATTCGGTACTTAAAATACACTCACCTCAGCAGTGGTTGTCAAACTCAGAGCATCCTCATAAATGAAAAGGAAGCAGCAACAGTATTTCAATGCTGCAAAAAATGGGAACATCAGAAAAGTGTGCAAATAGTAACTGTGCTAAAAACAGTTTGGTAACCCTGTTCCACTATATCAACACATGTAGGTGTCATTTTCATAGACTCCAGACAAATTTCTGAAACTTTGTAGATGCAGAAGAATGTTTCAAGAACTGATGACAGCATTATCAATAACATTATTGATTTTTTTACTGAAGCTTGAAGGGGAACTGACTCTGGCACCAGGTTTCTTGGCCCCACCAAATCTGGATTATGATGGATACCATAAACACATAGATGAAATGCTTCCATCTGAAAGCCCTGTACTATATGGACTGCACCCTAATGCTGAGATGGGATACTTGACAGCAAGGTCAGATAATCTCTTCAAAACTCTTTTGGAAATGCAACCCATGAATTCATTCGTAGGAGAAGGCTCATGCCAGTTTGCAGAGGAAAAGGTAAAGTTCTTCATCTGGTGCGTTTCGGTGCTGTTGATGACATGTGGAGCACACATCTGACTGTGTTATTTCAGCAAGAGACTTCATTTCTAGGAAAAAAAAGGTGCATCAAATTAGCAAAGATCAGCTGAGCGTTAATAGTGGCGATGATAATGTGCCAGCCTGTGCAAGGTACTGCAGTAGGGAGGAATTTGGATCAGAGGAACATCTAACCTGTTATGCACACGGTTTCTTTTTCACTTTGAATTTGATACAGGGTGGGAAACAAGGGATGACTCTATCTTGCTTTTTTGTGTGCTTTTATAAACAAGTACAGCAACACTAGCTTACTAAAAAAAGTTAAGGTTGGCTGAATTGGCAAGTCTAGTCTTCACCTCTGTGCTTTGTTCCCATCTCCTGCATGATAAAGCCCCTTTGTGTAGCTTCCCTGCTCCTTCCCGCTTGTGTCGAGCATAGGAAGTCCCTCCCAGCCCGTGGTCCTGGCTTCTTTCTGCCACGTTCACAGCACAGCCTAGCAGTCATGTGTAGGGTCTCCACGCCAGGAACAGCAGCCCAAGCACAGTGCTCTCCCACGGCTCCCCTTCCTGGGCCCTTGATCCAAGCAGGAGCCATGTGGGTGCTCCAAGAGACTTCCCTTGCAGGCAGCAACTGAGGAGGAGCTTTTCAAGGATTTTTAGTTTTCTGGTAGTCTGAAGAGGTGAAATCTGGACAAAATTAGCTGATTTGTATGAAATCTGGAGTTTAGCAGAACAATAACATTAATACCTATAAGCTATCAGATGCTAGGTTGAAGGGACCAACCCTAATACAAAGATAAGCTTTGTCACTTAATATGGAGTTAACTGGGGCACTGTAGTTCTGTTCACAGTCAAGGTATCTCAGATACCCAGATAATCTTAGTACAGCCAAACTGATTCCAGAAAAATGTAGAAGACTGGGTTTTGAGCATGGAACAGCACTGGTGCTGTGCTTAATAGATTAAATTAATAAAGGATGAGCAGGAAAGGAAAATGTAATTAGAAATCTTAGCTAGTTCTGTCATCAGACCCTGCTGTCTTCTGCACCTTCCTTTCTGAGTGTAGACCTGAGAAACTATGTCCAGATGCCCCAAAAAGTGGCATATCATGAGACTGAGCCTTCAGCTCCTCATCCTTACCAGAGTGAATTAAATTCGCGCATGACTGCCACTCTTGTTCTGCAACCTTCCATTCCTTCCTTCCTTTTCCTCTGGGCACTCTTTTTCTTTCTCTTATGACCGTCAGATCATGGGGGTTTTGCAGAAGGGAATACAATACTCTGTATGCAAGTAGCCAAACAACACTTCATTTCCCAGGGGGAGCTTGTGCTTTTCATGTTTGGTTCCTGTCCACTTTAGTGAGTGTGGACAATTATATATGGCATTCATCATTAATTCTGCCAAAGCTAGGACTGAAAGGGAAACTGAGCTGCATTAATGTTGTGATTTCAGTTCCTGCTCTGTTATGAATTGTTTTTCAGTTGTGTTCTGTCTCAGTTCCAGAGCAGGCCTGCGGGGAGGGAGAGAGGCTCTTTTTGGGGGCGAGACATGTGTGTGCATGTGCCTGTGCTGTATTTTGCCTAATGCTCAAGACACTAAGGACTGTGGGCGGTGGAGGGGGAGATAGAAGCTATTACGTACTACAGAAATACAAACAACTAATCACACTTGACTAAAAACCAAGGCAATCTCAGGGTACATCCTTGTAACAGGGGTCATCCCAAGCCCAGGGACGATGTGTTGGTGGGCTTTGGGGGTCAGCGTTACTTGGCAATGTAAAGCTGAATAGAAGCTGCTAAGTGTTAACTGGTTTGCAGTCATTTCTCTTGATACTGTTGCCGAAGAGACAGCAAAAGCGGGGGAGCACCTCTGTTTTTTATCTGCCTAAGAAAATGGGATGTTTGCGCTCTCCTGGAGAAGAAATCAGACTTGAAAGTAGAAGAGTCAAAAAGAGTTAATTGCAGTGATTTCTAATGGCTCTGTTTGTATTGGCCTGGAAAGGTTAAGAACGTCCTGGATAGTATTCTGGAGATGCTTCCTGAGGAGTTTAATATGGCAGAAATCATGCAGAAGACTACTGCCTGGCGCCTCTATGCCCTTGTTTGCCTTCAAGAGTGTGAGAGGATGAACCTCCTCCTTTCAGAGATCCGTAGGTCTCTTAAACAGCTGGACCTTGGTCTGAAGGCAAGTGACTTTTTTATTAATAGTACTGTTGCTCTTCTATTTATTTTGGGGCTTTCTGTTGGTTTTTTTGCAAATGAAAGAATAGCTATTCTTTATGATGCCAGTATGCTTTTTATTGTTCTCCAAACAAAGGGCGAGTTGATGTTTTCTCCTCACATGGAAGTGCTGCAGTCCGCACTCTTCTATGATGCTGTGCCAGTCACATAGACTAAACTAGCATATCCATCCACGAACAGCCTTGCCCACTGATAAGTACAACACAGTAACAGGGTTTAGCTACTATGTACAGAGCTATTCCAGTGATCTAAAACCTTTTTTTTTTTGTCCAAAATTTGTCTTAATGCAAGTCACTTTGGCTTTGAAGTGAGTTTTGCAGAAATGCTAAGCTCTTTGCTAAAGCAAGGCTTCGGCACCTCCCTTGTCACAAGAGCTAGGGGCGTTCAGCATCTTTCAGGATTCCTTTTCCCCTACCCTGCCACCAGCAATAGCCACTGGCAGACTGTTAGATATGGAGAAAATAGGCAGTCTTTTTGGAAATTCCTCTGGTATCTCATGGCAATGTATGCTGCAGTATTCACAGTCTCGGTGTCACTCTCTTGTGCTCCTGATTTGTACTTTGCTCTGGCCTATTGGAAGTTTAAATGCACCACTGAAGATGGCATCAGACAATTTGCATTTAAGAAGCCATCAACTGTTGTTACTGATTTTTGGCAGTTTCTGAAGGTGCATTAACATGACTAATGGTGATGTTCAGGTTTCTCTCCAAGACAACAAGTTTTACAGGATTGAGCATACTCACATTCTCTGTTGCCAGCAACCTGTCTCATGCTGATCCCCTTCTACAATTGATTTCGGACATACCTACATCAGGGAAAGAACAATTCCACTAAAACCATGACCTTATGCTTATGTAAGCATATACTTTCTGGTTACTTCAGCTGTGTGCCTTCTCTGTAGACAAAAGGACTCTTGCACTTGAATCTGCAATTTATTTTGTCTAAAAAAGTAGTACAAATAGATTCAGGCAGAAGCTGTTGCTGCTTCTCTTTTAGGGTTACCAATCTTCTCATGCAATACAGAGAACCTGAGATCTGGACACAGGACCTTGTGCTGCCAGCAGTAGTGTGGCTTTCTGGCTTGTTCAATCCTCAGTCCTTTCTGACAGGTAAGCAGTGACTGTTGTAAGGAACCAGGCATACCCTTTCACTGCCAGACATTTATTTTTTACCACTGGTGTTAGCTATGTTTGTGATGCTGTTTGGAGAGTTAAGCAGAGTTTAAATAAAAAGATAAATATCAGCCAAATATCTAAGCTGAATAGAAAAGTAAAGAAATGACAAAAATGGCAGGAAAACTAAGACTGAAATGTCCCGGGTTTAATCACGTGCTGTCTTTAAAATCTATTTGACAACAACCTTGCTCTGTAGCAGGGACTCCTAGCAGTGAATTGTCCCATTTTTAAAAGCCTCTAGTCCAAGTTCTTCTCCTGTAGGAAGGCTCATTGGTATCAGAATAACCATCTCCTGGAAGCAGGAGAAACAACCCAAACGCATCTTCAGTCTACTCAGAAGCGTGAAGACAAAGCAGCTAAGGAAATAAAAGCTGAATTTCATAGTTTAAAAAAGGTTGAGTGCAAGTTTTCCTGCCATTGTTATTTAACCAATTCAGTGCATATGTCATGGTACCATTCTGGTTTATTCCTTAGTATTAACACAGTTACCAGGCTAAGTAGAAAAAATACAATGTCTGCCAGTCCTCTTTGTGTAGTTGTTGCCTCAGTAGAGGATAAATCTTCAGCAGTGTATTGATGTCTCGCTTCTTGCCATGACCACAGCACATACGCATGTATTTATTCTGAAGACCACAGTGAAGCCCCATGAGAGCCCGATAACAGGGTATCTCAAATTCTGCATGGCCACCAATGGGCACTCAGATAATCCTTCGCTAGCCTAGCAGAAAGGTGGCCAGGAGCTCCTCACAGGACACTTTGGCTGGGCTGCCATCATTCCCTGGAGAAGATGGGCAGCAGGGGCCCAGGGAGTGTTTGCAGCTGACACTGAAGCACCTCTCCCTGTACTTGGAAGCAGAAGGGGATGGCAGCATGAGGACTGGCAGGCAGCTCCTCTTCTCTCTGCTGCTCATGTCGAGGTCCCCGAATGGTGCTCATTTTGTGCCACAGGCACAGAGAAACTCACCTGTATTTTTCACTCCTTTTACTGCCTCTCTCCAAGCTTTCTCTTCTGGGCGCTCGTTCCTGTCAAGGGCTGGGGGGATGTAAGGACCATGCAGGCTAGAATAGATGTTAGCACGGGCTTGTTCTGAACAAGGACTCAGCTGGAGCAAGGCGGTGTCTCAGAGTGCAGACAGCAATGCAGTCTTGCTCCCCTGCTAAGGAGGGCGTTGGTTTGTTCTGTACTGTGCAGAATGTTTTGTTTCCAAACAATTGCATTCATGCAGTTTTTCTGCCTTACTTCAACTAATGGCCAAAGGAAAAAAAACCCAAACTCCAGTCAGTCTCAGGCTTGTGCACAACAGGCCCAAGAGGGGCACGTTAACAGTTCTGACATTAAAATTACCATCTGAATATTGAATTATTGAAAGTATTATTTTTTTAAAGCTGTAATGCAGAGCACGGCACTCAAGAACAACTGGCCTTTGGATAAGGTGTGCTTGACTGTAGATGTTACCAAAAAGACCAAAGAAGATTATGGCTACCCACCAAGGGAAGGAGCCTGTATCTGTGGGCTTTCCATGGAGGATGAGAAATAAACTTAAATTGCTTCATCTCAGTAACCTAGTTCAGGGACTCTAGCTTTCTTCATTACGTAGACAAGTTCCATCAGGAGTTGAACTAAAATGTTGTGATCCTATGAACAGCACCGAGGAAGTTTAGGAATGGTGGTGGATTGTTGGTGTTGGTCCACTGTGACTTTAAATTTCCTACCGGCTTGGTGTCCTAATCACTGACTATACTTCATGCATTTAAATAACTGTTAAATGAGTCTGAACAAGGTCTGCATTGTAGTAAAGCAGCAGCTCTAATCTAGTTGAGGTTCAGAAGCTTAAAACTACTTCAGAGACTTCAAATTTCACTGATCACCTGCAAACGTTCTGCAGCTCTTAGAGGTGTAGAACAGGGTTAGTAGCTACCAGGCAGATCAAGCCATCTACACAGTTGCAGTTAACAAACAAACAAACAAAAAACCCACCAAAAAAGCTATTTTCAAAATCACCTTTCTCCTGCTTCTTCTTCCATCTTGGCAGAAAGTTGTCAGTTCTAAATAAACGCATCTAAAGAACTCTAATTTTTCATTTCCTAGGCCATAATACTCAGAGGCTGTTGGGGAGACATACCAAGAAGCAAGGACATACTTGAGAACCCTTGTATTAGCATGAGGTATAATGACACACCTAAGTGGGTGATGTGCAAGTATGACACGAGTAGATTTTTCATCTGGGTTTCCAAGCAGTCAATTATTGTAGTAGCTGTAATATGGTTGTAGGCTGTCCCTGAATGGGACATCTGTTGAGGTGCAACCCCTCTTTTAACAACTTTCAGAGGATAAACATTGTACCTTGCTCTTTTGGAACTGTATTTTACTGAGACTGAAGCTACTTTAGGAATGACAATTAAGGCCCGCAGTCAAAATGAGATTTTAGTTTTAACTTAGAAGGGCTGTCAACTAAGTTACAGCTAATTAGAGGAAAGGTGAATGACTCCAACAGGCAATTAGAGAAACATCATCATTACTCGTACTCTTCACTAGACCTGAATAGAATAAAAGGAAAGCAACTCTTTTGGAAGGGAGTTGCTACTACAGCAGGTAAGCCCCAAGGGGAAAGTCAGGGTGAGGGACTGGAGCAATGACGAGCATGGTAGCCTGAATTTTTCAGAGGATTTTTTTTAAAACATCTGTCACCCAAAGGGCAATACTGTTCATTCCTCCTCTGGATATGAGGAAGGTATCGAGGAACCTTGAGCTGCAGTTGCTGTGTTTCTGTTGGTATTTGCAAATATAAACTTTCCTGTTGCTACATAAACACTCCTCAAATCCACAACAAGCATTTGCAACATTTTATATGCTGGTTTATGTTAGAAGAACACACAACAAACTTAAATCCAGCAGCTTTCAGAAAGTGCATGGCCCTTCAGCAGCACAGAACTCGTCTGTCTTAACTACACTGAAGTGCCTGTTTGATATCTCGCTATGCAAACATGTGCTAAATACTCCAGTGTAGTTCTCCAGCTTTTGGAATACTTGACCATAAACTAGTGGAGAATTAGGAGAAAATCTGAGCACTTGACTTTGACAGGCACACTCAGTCATAGGCATACTCACAAGTCCCAACTGTAAGTAGTTTCCCATCCCTGCTTTCAATAAAAGGACATGCTGATGAAAGCAGGCAGTTTAGTACTAAGCTTTCAATAGTACGTGCTGCTTTCTCAATCTGCCTTGTATTTAAAGCGAAAGGAGATAAATATTTTTCAGTCAGCTGGAGCAGATTTGCCTCACAAAAACACAATCCTTAGTGTAACACTTATGTGCGTTATGTTGTTATTTCCTCATTCATCAGTGTTGCGTTCAAGTGTTTCTCCACATAATGATTATTGATCTGCAAGCATTCCTTCATTACACCTGCTACGGGAAAGTAAATGAGAAACATCAGCATCTGGGTGTAGTCTGACTCACAAAATACTCCTCTTGATTATTCTTTATTCTCTCTACATAAAATGAAACGTGTATCTTTCTTACAAGAAATTTAACATAATCATACTGCAATACAAACATGTTGCATTTAAACGAAGTTGTTTGAAAGCTTGGTTGTATATATGAAAAAACATCTAAGTATGAACTGTATGTAAAAAAAGTAATCCTGAACTTTGCAATTTAAACCAGTTAACCAGTTATGACTGCTGTAAGGTAGTTGGTTCAGGCAGCAGGTGCATCACACAAAAACTGCTGGTGAACAATTCTTTTTCTTTATTGGGATGATGTTTAAAATTTTTAAAAATTTTTTTTTATTTATTTTTTTTTTTTTACAAAACACTCTTCCACTTTCATATTTCAGTGATTAATTGCACTTTGGAATAAAAAAAAAAAATCATCCTCCCACTGATAAGTTGCATCAGCTTTGGCTGGAATATAAAGGCATTCAGATGAAAGTACCCTTCCCCTCTTTGCAGAGACAAGTTCCATCAACTACAGGTGGAAGAAAGAATAGGTTCAGAAAGCAAGGGCTGGAAAACTGAATCTTTATGGTCAGGTTGGAACACAAGGGGTTTTTTCTTTCTTTAAAGACAGGGTATGCTTTACAGGTAGTTGCTAAACACTGTTTCTGCAAACTTGGTCAATTTGAGCAATATTTTTATTTATATAATTGTGTGGTTGTGTAGCTCTATTAAAAATTAACCACTCGAGGTTCAAGAGTGCCATTTCACTTAATGTATAGGTCTGTGCATGTAGATTTCTCTACCAAAACATTTTCCTGAGAGATCTTTTGCATAAGACCACATCAATCAAAAAGTTCCCAACACAGAAATACATATACTATACTCTACAATTCTAACTTATATAAAACATAGTAATAACCTTTTGAAGTCAAAATTTGTCAACATATTAACCAGTTGCAGCGCAGCTTGAGTTCAGTGTTTTCAATTGTCATCCGCCAGTTGTTTTTGTAAACTAGAAGACATGTGAGAAAACAGTGTTAGTGCTTCTTAGGAAACTCAGATTCCCCATAAACAATTTCCTTTGCTGAAGATGACAACTTCCAAACCAGCACTTCTATATGCTTGAAGCAATCAATACTGATTTCAAAATAGGGAAAAGCATTTCAATTTCTTAAGCACATGAGTTCTTTACACAGACAATATGACTCACTTTAATGCAGCTGATTTCAGCCTAGGAGAAATCTCAAGTCCAAGAGACTTCTTTTGCATAGGTTCAGGATCTGCCCCAGGCCACAAAACTCAAGTATTATTTAAAGGGCTACAACAGTTTGAAAAAGAATGACCGTGGGGCACGGCCCTCACCTTTCCAGATACTCCTTGACGTTGTCGTAGCCGTAGAACTTGGCCAAGTGGATGAGCATGCCCGTGGCACAGCGCCCGTCCCGCCGGCGGCAGTAGCTGCAGTTGCACACCCCACGACAAGGAGGACAGATCCAGGCCTGCAAGGGGGTGAATGTGGGAGGGGAGTTAAAGGCAAGACACAAGTAAGGTTATATTCGCCTTCCCGTTGCTCAGACAGACAAGAGTATAGCTTCCTTACTGCATGATTGTTCAGGGCAAGGTTTTAAAAACCTGAATCAGCCAGCCAACCAACCTTTTTAACACTTTCCAAATTCTGTAGGATTAAAGAAGTGATTAGGTACTACCCTGTTTGCTTGAATACTTCTTACTCTGAAGACTCAGGCTCTCTGATTTGTTCAGTACTTATTTAAAATAGACTAAAGGCATCTGTAACGCCTAATGATAACTCATCCTATGTTGGGCTGACCGTAGTGAACTCCCTAGAAAAAGATGGGTACCCACTGTGACAAGTTTCTTTGGCTCTGCCTGCTGGCATAGCCCGATTCCCGAGACTGAATTACCCAGCATGTACATGAAGTCAGGCATCTCCCAGCTGCTCAGCAACTGAACATAGCGGCGCGGGTGCTAACAGCCTGCATTACAGTATAGCAGCCATTGCCACACTGGGCCAGCACATTGGAGCCGTTAGTTCTTCATTGTCCTTCAGAAGAGCCCAGAAGCCCATCTCTAAAGCAGAGCGGGGGGAGAGGAGGTCCCAGGAGCAGAGAGCGAGCTATTCTGCCGCGAGGTCTTTGCGTAGCCACGTGCCTCATTCTCTGGCAGCAGCCTGTGCTCTCTCCTTGCTCAGTGCCTTGGGGGACAACAGAGAAAAGGGAACCAACCCTGAGACTTTTAGATCTCCTTCTCCTTTTTTCTCATATTTAAAAATTAGAATCTAAAACAACCTGTTTGCATGCCACGTTACTGAAAGCATTAAAAAATGGGTACATTTTGGCATTTTTCTGAAAGGGGACAGATTCCTTTTCTTAAAAGCTGTCATGCTTTCCCTCCACTATCTGGTAAGCAAGTGGAGCTTCAAACCACAAAGCTGGATGGACTGTAACCCAGGTCCAGCACATTCCACTTGAGTTCCAACAAGATCAGTGTCAGTCGTAACAGTACTACAGATCTTCTCATGGCAAAAAGCTTTGATGACCGTGTTATCATAAGCATATACTCATCACAGCTTACTAACAAAACCGTATTCGTTACACTTTCTTTCCAAGACCGAGAAATTATACTTACTGGATCAAGCAGTGCTGATTTCACATCTTCCCCATATCGATTTCGAAGACACGGTCCACAAAACTGCCCCCTTACTCCTCCACAGCCCTGGTTGCGACAGATTGTCTTTGTATCAATTGTCTTTTGTCGACATTGGTGGCAAGTACTACCCTAAAGTTGGAAAGGAGGAGAAATACATATGTATGAAGGACATCTTAAATGCTTGTTGCTGAACTTTCCTAGTATATCTGCTGATAGCAAAGCAAAACTTCAAACCAAAGTCAAATTCAGCAATGAAAATCTCAGTAAGAACTGTAAAAGTTCTGTTATTATGATAAATCATATAGTTATCTAGAGAGATGCTAGGGATTTTACAGAGACAGTGCCCAGCCTCAGCTGTGTTGGGAGTCTCAAACTACATGAACCTCATATTACAGTTCTGATCCTTTCCTCTACCTAGGAAAAAGCTAAA